GGTGATAATAGTTCTGGCACTGAAATACTCACCCTTCCATGTTGGAATTTTTTGGGATGCGCACATAGGTTGGTAAAGCATAAATTAATTAATGATGTTGTTTGTGTAAATGCTATTAGGAAATCCTTTCTAGGTGCTTAGTAGGTGCAAATATTCACAACGATCATTGTTGCTTCTTAATTTGGGGACATGTTGCGCACAGTTAGAAAATCGTCTCATAATGAAATTTCAGACCCAAGCGGGTGAAACAGGTCCATTTATTGATGAGATTTTGAGCGGACTGAATTCAATAATTTGTGACTTATCTCCACAACAAGTTCACGTGTTTTACGAAGCTGTTGGTTGTCTCATATCGGCACAAACTGATCCGGCAATTCGTGAAAGTCTTATTGAACGCTTGATGCAGCTACCAAATTCGATTTGGGAAGAAATTATTTCGCATGCCAGTCAGGTTGAGAGTTTTTTTTTTCTTGGATTTTGAGTTCTTTTTGTTTTTAGTGTTTCGTAGTGATATTGAGCTCAATGGATAAAAAGTTGCTCGCAGTAGAAAGGTTGCGTGCTGGAGAAAAGATACTTAATTGAGAGGGACATAGTGCATGCTGTCTTTCATAGTGTTTGGAAAACAGGAGTTGAAATATCGAAAATCTATCTTGCTTGCTATGCTTGATTCCAGGACATTCCGACAATTTAATCTTTCTGTAGGGGATTGGTAATGAAAGGGATCTTCTTTACTGCACTTTGTTTAATGTGCATTTGGAATGATTCAGGTGAGGCAATTTTTAGTAATAGTCACATTAAAGTGATTTTTATGCCTGGGAAATTGTAGGAGAAAGTAGATAAAAGGTCATGGATTTCAGGATATTAATGTAATGAAAGAACAGGAAGTTGTCAAGAATATTGTTAATATCTTGAAAACAAACGTTGCTGCTTGTCGTTCGATTGGAGAGCCTTTCATTTGTCAGGTCCGTTCAATTTTAACTTTTCCATGGAAATTTGGAAAGATTGTCCCAAGCAAATCATCTCTTATAATATTCCAAGTTTTCAGCTTTCGAAAATTTATCTGGATATGTTAAATGTTTACAAAGTTACTTCGGAAAATATCAGTGGTTTGGTAGCACAATCAGGTGAAGAGATTCTCAAGCAGCCTCTACTGAAACAGATGAGAGCTGTTAAACGTGAAATACTAACACTTATTTCAACATGGATCAGTAAAACATTGGATGCAAATGTAAGATTTCTTACTGAGAAAAGCAGAATGAAAACGTTACGCTAGGATTAAGGAAGGACTAAAGTTTTACGATTGAATACTACTTGTGGTTTTCTGGAATGAAAGGTTCTCTATATGTGTACTAGATTTTGATAGAAGCTTAAATAATTTCAGATTATATTAGAAAATTTCGTTCCTCCGTTGTTTGATGCGGTTCTCTTTTGATTATCAACGTAATTGTTCAGCAGCTCGTGAACCAAAAGTCCTTTCATTATTGTCTATTATCGTTTCACAACTGCAAGTACGTTAATTGTGATTAAGTTTTTGATCATTGAATTCTTGATTACTGGAGGTCTATGACATTTTTATTCTTTGAACCTGTTATACAGACTGCAGGTGAAAAGGTAGATATTTTAAATGATGGATTTTCTATACCAGTTGATGTGACGTTGTTTATATTGTAGTAAATTTGAATTTCTTTTGTTGCAGTCGGCAGCTAATCAAGAAGTTATGCGTATACTAGATGCTGTCTTTACTTGTACTCTGGAGATGATCAATCGCGATATGGAAGAATATCCGGAACATCGCCTGAATTTTTTCAGTCTTCTCCAAGCTTTAAATCACGAATGCTTCGATGTGCTGATATCACTTCCCCCAGAACATTTTCGCTTGATTGTGGACGCGGTTGTTTGGGCTTTTAAGCATACTATGAGAAATGTTGCAGAGATCGGTGTCTTTTTTGTCTTATGAAATGAATTCATTCTTTGATGATTTGTAAAATAATCGAAGTTTTCCTTTCAAATTTGCAATAAGTAAACTAGAGCACCAGCACACACTCAACCAGAGCACCTACTTTCAAATAAATAGAAGGAAACATTTTTATAGGTTTGGATATTTTGAAAGACATGCTTACACAGTTCGGCGTGCACAGAAATAAAGAGCGGGCACAAACTTTCTACAAACACTTTTTCATGGAAATACTCGTCCATGTGCTAACTGTTGTTACCGATAGTAACCAGATCAAAATTCTCGGTAAGTAAGTAAGGGTAGTTTCAGTCAACTGTTTTTTTACTTAAGATTTCGTAAATATGCGTATTTACAATTTTCATTATTTTTTTGAGAATGTTTTTGAAAGTTATTTTGATTTTGGGTGATGGAACATGTCATCTTCTCTTTATCTATATAATCCTTTATTATTGCTACTGCTGTTCTTACATAGTCACAAACTAATTTCATTATACTAAAGTTATAAGAACAACGGAACAGTAGTTCTTATATTCATTGTTATTATTACCATTGCATGCATTTATTATTATTTATTATTATTATTATTATTATTATTATTGTTATTATTATTATTATTATTAATTATTATTATTATTATTATATTATTATTACTTATTATTATTATTATTATTATTATTATTATTATTATTATTATTATTATTATTATTATTATTATTATTGTTATTATTACTATTATTATTATTATTGTTATTATTATTATTATTATTAATTATTATTAATTATTATTAATTGTTATTGCTTTTTTGAGCCTTAAGAGATTTGGCATAACAATGATTGAAAATAGTAGGCACAATAAATATAGCAAAATAAGTACTAGTGCTAACAATAAACGATAGCAATAATAATATCAATAGCATAATATAGTAATATTAACAATAATATTAGTATTGATACGATATCAATAGTAATATTAATATAATGAAGTAGCAAGAAATCCGATTAATTCACAATTTTTTTGTAGGCTTATCGTGCTATGCGGACATTTTGTGTACATTGTTCTATGCGGCCGAAGTATCTATTACTGAGCAACTGAATCCACCTCAGTCAAACATCGATTATATTTACATGCATATAAGCGAAACTTTTGCTCAAGCATTCGACAATCTGACGCCGTAAGTTTACATTCTGTCCTTGTTCTATCGTTAGCGTGACATATCGAATAGTGTGTTGAATTCTTTTGCCTCACTCTTAAATTTTTTAATGATGGAAAATTTCTTAATATGCAGTGATAAACTTGAATCAAAAGAGTTGAATATTAAATGGTAGAAAAGGCAAAAAATTCATAGACTGTAGTTCCTACTTATTATATCAGATCAATTTTTTTTTTTTCTTTTTAGAGATCAAATCCGTGTCACAGTGAAAGGCTTTTTTTTCATTTAATATCGATTCAGTTAAAATGAAGAATCATTTGCGTGATTTCTTGGTCCAAATCAAGGTGAACTTTTCGTCTTATCATTATAATATTATTGCTCATGATCTAAATTAACATTTGCTTGAGTTTTCTTACGCACGGAGTCAAAAGGTTTGAATTGGAGAATAAATTATTAAAGTACTGTTGCTTTCCTGGAATGTTATAAAACAATACTACGGAGCTTTGTGATATTGTTTTGGGGTGGATGAATGTCTTTTATATTCGGAAGGCTGGTCGTCGCAGTCATTTCCATCTCGGACTTATCATTTGTTCCTTTCTTTTGCAGGAGAGAGTTGGTGAAGATACATCTGATCTATTCATTGAAGAGCGTGAACAAGAGATTCAGAACGTCCAGAATGCGAAGAAAGAGGTAACAAAAGCCTAATTATGAATTTCGAAGTTTAAAATGGATATAATGGTTAAAATGCATAAGTAATCCTTCGTTGACTGTCTTCTCAGTTCAAAAATTTTCCTTATGTTTCAGGTTCCTGGTATGCTGAATCCGCACGAAATTGCTGATGATGATTCTATGAAATAAAAAAAAAATGAAATAAACAGAAAAGGGAAAGCAGCATTGTTACTCCTTCCGTCGGTTGGTATATATGTTCCTGGAATTTTTTGATTACTTCACGAAAAACTTCAATTTCTCCCCAAATTATGCATTATAGACTTTCTTTAGTGTAACAATTTGCATTGTTCCTCCCACCTTTTTTACAAATAGTTGTACGGAGTCTACTGTATGTTTATTCGCTGTTTTTTTTTTTGGATTTAACCGCTTATAAAATCCAGTTTGTTTGACAAGATTTTCCAAAACTATTTAAATATTTGTGTGGAATTGTATCTAGCTTTTTTATTACGTATTAGCTTACACAAGTCCGACATCGATATCTCATCTACTTGGCGACCAATTTATTGATTCGCCAAACAACAGTTATCTGCTGAACGAAATGTTTTTTCAGTTATCTTTATTTTTCTTGAAAGCCAAAATTCATTTTGTACAAATGATGATGGTGTTAATGACGAATGGAGTAGTGTCGTATCAAACAGATCTCCTACACAAATCTATAATACATGCATATTCTTTCCCTCTTCATAAACTGTCATCAAAATTCGTCTTCGATCGTTTTGATTTATGTTGTTGCATTAATTAATCTTTGCGTTTTGTTCGATTATTCCCACCGTCATCTCTATAATGTTTTCTCTTAGTGCAGTTTGTCGATTTAAATTTCACTCATTCAGAATTTATCTGAAAGGATATGCTGAAGGATATATCACTGCGTTTACTTCATCTCACCCAATTTAATTGTTCGAAATCTTGCGATATGTTAAAATATTGATTGTTTTTAAACCCAGATGATGGTGATGATGCAGTCCTTCCAGCATTTTCGAGAAATTTTTGTATCCGTGAACTTCTGGATTTCGTGAATTTCTAGAAAAGAGCAATCAAAACACGCTAATTTTACAAGGGGAATTGACTTATTCCAGATTTTCTAAATTTCGTGAATAAGTGGCACCTTAGGTGATAATTCTTGAAAGATCATGAAATTACCTGATCTCACGCGGACAATTCTGAGAATCAGAACATACTGGAAGCATAATACATACAGTACCATAAAGTCAGATGTAACAAATACGATTAATGCAAAAGAAATCCTAAAACATGACAATAATCTATTTGGAAAGCATCGAGATGAGAAACATATTTATAGCAAGATAATGGATAGCATTACATGAAGTTATTTCCAGGACCAGGAGGGGAGTCCTTATTCAATGAGACTAAGCATACTGCTTGCTTACAAGACCGAATGCTAACATTTCAATGGACCAGATCGCGGCAGGAAATGAATCTTCACGAGTTCGCACCGGTCAACATTCCGTTACATCGTTGAAAGAGTTATCAGAGTGGAAGGAATGAATAACCGGAATTACAGGCAAAGATATCACGAGTTTTGCGTGAGGCATGAATCCAGATGAGAGTTGATGATGTTTTCCGGAACACAAACATTACACACTGGGCACGGCACACAAATGATTATTTCATTGTTGACTGGTCCGATGCTGTCATTAACAGCTGGTCTACTTTTCGGGATTTTCTCTTTCACTGACAATCCAAAGTCATTTCTTGACGTCGCAACAGTTGTTGTTTTCTCTTTAACTGCTAAAAATATTTTTTGTACCCTAAGTCATCTTCAGTACAACAAATTTCAGCAGGTTGCATTTTTTCATCCCATTACTACCAACGTTCTTTCTGATTCTGTGCACATTAAGATTGTACCTAAGATATCCTCCGAAGATGATGAGAGGTGACCCAAAACATGGCCTTTTCCAGTAAAATATTGATTCAAAGGTGTTTGCCATGTCTGAGATTGAGATTTCCCATTAGATACTTCGGACACTTTCTTTTTCGTACCATAAGCTTCCGGTTCTTTGACTTTGATAAATTTACCTACAAATAATCATTGGCACTAATTAAATCCTCCAAATACGACAAACTTATTATATGATAACCACTTCAGCGATACCTCCGCAAGTCATCTGATGTTCCTTCCACCAAAAATCATTCGCGCCTGGAGCACGGTTCATTGATCGCTTCACCCAACCATAAAACGGAGGACGCATCCTAGAAGAATGCATGTATATATCGTTTTCATCAATATAAAGAATTTTATGAAATTTCAAGAAATTCTGGTCCTTTAGTTCTATTTACACTGATACATAAAATCTACAGAAATATCGATTACTATTATTAATCCTACTACTGTGTTTCAAGTTCGAGTATGATTTAATAGACGGATGATTTATGCCCCAACATTTAACATTTTCACTCAGTGAAATATAGTCAGACAAATTGAATTATATTCTTAAGATCAAACTCATGAGTGTCGAAACTCTTGAACGGCATTTAACTTACCGGCAAAGTCCAGTGCATCTCCACCAGTGCTTTTGGTGATATTGTACTTCATTATGAAAATTGTGATAAATAGTAATATTTGTTCCTGCAGTCATGTTAATACGGTGCATATGGAACTGAAACATTGGTCCATGTCCATCACGATCCCTGAAAAAATATACACATATAATAAAACCGGTGGTAAAATAATGCAACGAATTATAACAGTGTATGAAAGAATTTCAAAATCACAATATTATGTCACATTTTAATTTGACAACTATTCAGTTTTAATCGAAAATTTACATGACGCCGTCGGACAGAAATAAAAAAGCATGGATCATCTCGTGCAACAATGTTTCCACCAGATCTTTTCGAGGTCGATATTGTAGCAGGGGCTTACTGAGCCGAATGGAACAAAACCCACCTTTTCTTTCAAAACTACATAAACCCGCACACCTGTAAGTAGGTTTTTTTTGACTCCAAAAAATATCAAACATTTGAGCTCACAGAGAATTCCAACACAGACTGCCAGAAGAAACACGCTGTGCAATGAGAAAATGAGACTTTCTCCCATGGCAGAAGAATGAAGCCTCTAGAGCTATGGAAGAATAAACCTCCAAGCTTAACTTCAAACCAGCGTCTTCAAGTAAAGCTTACGCGGTCATTCGAGAACTCCATTTCACTTCACATGCAACCAGTCTTCCATTGAAGAAAGTGTCATCATACTGCTGAAAAAGTGCGTGCAAATCTGGAGTTGGATCGATTATTTCCCAGATGGGATCCACTAAAGAATTAGATTGGGATGAAGTGTTGGATGAACTGGATGAGGTAGCCTAAAATTTGAAAATTTTTACAAGCACGAAAACTTTAAGGTAAATGAAAACAGTGTGATATAAAATAACCTATTCATTCATGAACTTGATCCCACGCGAGTTTAGTTCCATGTGTAGACCTTTCAATTTATCTCCAATGCTAGGTGAATTTATTTGAACACGCAATATTAAAATACTTACTGCTGGAAAATTGTAACGCTTCTTTTTCTGTGGTATATCTTGAAATGCATGAATATGTTGCAGATCTTTCAATTCAAATATCTTTTTGCTCATATCACCTTAAACAAAATTGAAGTTTTGAAGAGATTAGATAAGCAAGATAGGACTTACCGCATAATATAGTCACAAGATGATTATAGAATGACACTGCCTCTTCCGCATCCAACTGCCGAGGTAAGAACAATAACTAGAACTATCAATTCATAAATCTATAGGCAATTCCTAAAACTATTTGGTACTAATTTCCCAAATTTTGTTACCGAATCCCCAAAGATTTCTGCTATCACATTTCTCAAACTTTTCACCACGATATCATTCTTAGCCATATCTACAGTCACATCTTTTCATATTCATGCCTAGATTTTTCCAAACTTCATAAGCCATATTTACCAAAACAAGAAGATGAAATAAATCACTGAAAAAAAATAGTACATGATATCGAAGAAGAAAACAGTTTTTATTGAGTAAACTATAAAGCAATTAAGTCTAAAGTACCACGTTTAATAAAATAGCAAATAAGAGAAATAGTTTTTGCGGCAGTATTGGTTATTGAGAGTGCTAAAAAGGAAGGCTAAAGGAAAAAATCGAAATAGAATATATTAAGGAGAAGTATAGAGAGGTTTCCTTTCTACGACAACACATGCTCTTATGCGTCTTCCGGAAAAAGTATAATTGATAAAAAATATTATCCAGATCGATAGCAACTTCTCGAAAAAAGTAGACAGATATAAATCAAATTAATCATGCAATAAAAGTTTAGCAAACTTTCAGAAATACCAAAGTGTTAAGCGAACCGGCCTCAATGACCATGCATATGCCGAATTCTTTTCCGGTTGAGAAGTATGCACATGAGGAAATTGAAGAAAATATGCGAAGTTTTCCCCAACGGACAGAATCCTGTAATGGAACGAAAAGTTGTGAAATCTCGTGTATGCCAGAAAATTCTAAACATCCTGAAATGTGACAGAATTGCCTTTTTTTTGAGAGCCGGCAAATTATTTTCAATTTCAGCATAACAAATTGTTAACTAATAACAAATCCGGAATAATAGCAACCAGATAGATAAATGAAAATCAAATCCGGAATAATAGCAACCAGACAGATAAATGAAAATTTCTCATTTTCTAACCAGAAAAGAAAGCTTCATTATATACTTTAAAGCTCCTTCGTAAATGTTCGT